AACCAGCACAGGCCGCTCCAAGAAACCAATCGTCCAGGGTTCGGGACACGTGGAGGGTTCCACTCGAGCCTGACACTCATGGTGGCCCGGGAAAGCATAGTAGCTATCTCTGGGTCTGACTCGGGCAACGCTGCCACACCCGAAGGGGGCAGCGCAGCCGAATCTTCATCCCCGGAGGACATACACTCACCCTCCGATGCAGCGACCGACATCTGGTTCTCTGGAGGTTCCCCAAAAGTGACGACTGGTGCCACACGAGGCGGACCAGCACGCCCTCTTGGAGGCTCCACTGGTTGCAGTGTCATGGAGGAGTGAGGAGCCCGAGGAGTTTGACTCGGCGGGGTATTCCTCACTGTAATCCTCAGGTCACCTAGGTTATTAACCGAAGTAGGCTTCTTCTGAGCTGGCCCAGAAGAAGAACTAGATCGGGGAATATACGAAGGGGCTCCAGTCCTTTCAAGACACTGGAGTCTCGACCTTAACACCGAGATGGTCATGTTCCCGCAGTGAGAACATATACCATCCATGAGTGCCACCTCAGTGTGTGCGAGGCCCAAACATGTGAGGCAGTAATCATGACCATCACCGGGGGCCAGGTAGCGACCGCATCCAGTAGCACACAGTCTGAATGACATCTTGAAAAAGACGCAGGATCAAACCGTGTGTGCTCTTTTAGGAATTTGCTCTCTACTGGTGCTGAAACGCACAGAGGAAATGGCCGCGGCTACACAACAGTACACATAGTGCAAGCCTGTTGTGAGCACTCACACTCGTTGAAGGCGCACTCTCCAGCAAGCTGTGAGAACAGCTGTTTTTGCTCTCTCGTGAGATTGCGACCAACACTTTCAGCGCTGTAACACCCGCACCAGACACGCAGAGGCTCCTTCCCAACGAGCAGCTCGTCTTCCACCACTTTCCAAAGAAAACACGCGCGCAGGAACAGCACATGTGTTCGGCTCCGAAGCGAAAAGCAAATATGCGACGCACCGGCTGCTCATTAAATACTCGCGCTGTGACCTAATGAAAGGGAACTGTGTATCATTATGGAGTGAAATGTCGACCCATAAAGAGGTAATGACTGTCATGCTTTGGGGGTGTTGATGGACCCGATCTACATTTTGATTATCATTATGAATCCAATTCAGTATAGTCTTTTTTCTCAATGTTTTTTTTCAAAATGTTATTTATTTTTGAAACTTACCCACATTCAAGTGTTAATAAAAAAGAATGAATGAAGCTATAATATTTTTTTTTGTTTTTGATTTTTTGACGATGTTGTTGTTTTTCAAAAGCAGAGGCTTTTCTCTTTCTTTTGATATACTGTTCAGGTTTTCAAACAGCAAATAATTTTGGGCGCCATGAAAGTTTGAAAATGTTCAAAAACGGTGGGGCTGGCTGGCAAGTATTTGAGAAAAAAAATAAAAAATAAAACTCTGCTGGGGAAAGAGTTAAAATACAGTGTACTTTCATAAACATAAAAATGTGCTTCAAGTATTTCACTAGTAATCTTCCAGTATACATATAAGTTCACTTCTAGTGTAGTTGCAGTACAAACTAACAACAGAAGTAAACTAGTTGTGTACTTAAAAGTTTACTACTGTTGCACTTAGGCGGGGTTTCACAGACATGGCTTAGCTTAAGCCAGGACTAGGCCTTAGTTAAATTAGAATATTTAAATAGATTTTATAAAAATGCCTTGAGACAAAAAATGGCTTGTAAAAAAAAATGAAAGATATGTCAGTGCAAGTTATTTTCAGTTCAGACAGCTTTTATTTTAGTCTGGGACTAGCCTTAAAGGTGCAATAGGTGATTGTTTTCAGAAACATTTTTTGTTATGCTGGTTGAAAGTCTCTTCACATCCCTATAGCAATCATTAAGTTAAGTGGTCTAAATGTATTTATCTGTACTTATATATTCTGCGGAAGGCATAGGACCAAGAAATGTACGTCCAATCAAAACGCTCGCTCGGTTCGAGTGTTTTAATTGGCTTTCCTGCCTGTCAACGCATGTATGTAGCATACCTCTGCGCACCCCGTGTGCATGAACTGGGTTCCGATCGATATGATCACTACACCGTGTTCATTGCTCCCTACTCCCTGAGCAGGGGTTTACTTCACTTCGGAACATGGGCTGGAATTGGGAACCACTGATGTAGCCTATTGTAGTAATGTTGTCTCTGCTATTCTGGTCTGTGAGCGTCTACGCGTTCAGGGGGCGTGGCTTTGGACAGCGATTGACTTAAATCAGAAAGAATGTGAAGATTATGATGACGGCGATGGACATTTGCGTGAGGTTTTAGCTCTCAAGGAATTTGTAGCTGGATATACTGCTGAATATGTTTGAGGGAAAGCATGTTTTCACACACACATAATCACGCTCTCACTAATGGATTCAAACAAATGTAGCCTAATCTTACAGTGCTACGTTATCTAGCCCAGTGGTTCCCAACCCTGGTCCTGGAGGCACACCAACACTGCACATTTTGCATGTCTCCTTTCTCTGACGCACCAGTTTCAGGTCTTGGAGTCTCTACTAATGAGCTGATGACCTGAATCAGGTGTGTTTGATTAAGGAGACATACAAAATGTGCAGTGTTGGGGTGCCTCCAGGACCAGGGTTGGGAACCACTGATCAAGCCTATATCTGATTTAGAATGAGCAGAAATCTGTAAGAAATGTAGCAATCTGGAAATAACTGACAAAAACATATTGTTTTTCCATGCTTCCAAACAAAATTTGCACTGCAAAAAGCAGCAATGATTTTTAATTTTTAATGCTGATAATAACCATGCAAAAAGCTTGCATGTCATAGGAAAAAAAAAAAGTTTGCACACTAATGTTTCTATAAACTACGCTAAAACTATTATGGTATCATTTATTTAGGCTATTTATTTTAGGGCTGCCCTCAACTAAAGATTTTTCTGATCGACTAGTAGTCGCTCATGTTAAGAGATAGTCGATTTATTGCACGTTTATATTAATAAACCATAAATCATAATAGTGAGCCTATAGCCTAATCCAATGGTTTTCAAACCTGTCCTGGAGGACCCCCAGCCCTGCACATTTTGTATGTCTCCCTTATCAGACACACCCAATTTAGTTCTTGCAATCTCTACTAACGAGCTGATGAGTTGGATCAGGTGTGTTAGATGACAGAGACATACAAAATGTGCAGGGCTGGGGGTCCTCCAGGACAGGTTTGAAAAGCCCTGGCCTAACCAGTGCTCAAGCGTGCGCATAAAGATTATGAATGCATCAAGATAAAAAACACTAAGGAGACTGTCTAAACATTTTAATAATTCATTGATAAACTAGTGATTTATTTGTTTTCGGCTACAGTGATGAAGGTAATCATCTCGTCATTTCTGAAGTAGTGGACGCACCTAATGCACGTTTAATACGGATTACATAATCTGAGAATATTTGTTTTCCATTGGTTTATGCACGTAAAAGTGTACATAGATATCTATAGAGATATTTTCATGTCTGTGAGGCAAGTATACAGGGAGATTCAGTTCTTTTTTTCCTGATGCGCTCAAGTTCACAGAGACCAAGACGGCATAGCGCACCGTTTGTTTTCATTATTTTACAAAAGTGTAACATTTTGTCGTTATTATGAGTGTACACAAATAAAAGTAGTCTTTGAAGATCTGAAAGATGTATAACTTTTGTCTGTTTGACCAAAAATGACAGCATATTTTTAGTGCAAGTGATCACATCGGCGCCTCCATGTTATCTGTCATGCAGTGAGCGCGCTACTATTCAGCTTCCACACTCCACACAAACACTTGAATATCGCGCATTCCTCTAGGTTAACATTAGAGCAAGAGGTTGCAACTACTTACACGTTTCAGATGATAAGCCACATTTGAGTTGGATTAATGATAGGCACGTTTAGGTGTGCCCGATGTACTGTATTATACGAGCGTATGGGACACTCAGTGGGTTCAGGTGTAGTGCAGCCAAGATGGTGGTGTGTGTTTCCGGTAAGAGAAACAGGAGGGGGAATCCCAATTTAACTTTTGGTTAACTGGAGAGCGCTGGGGAGTTTTAAGTGACTTAAGAGGACCTAATATTTGTAATGTTCACTCAAATGAGGCTGATTATTCATTACGTTGTCTAAGGCCATCTTCAGTAGGGCAAAGTCACTTTCTCGGCCAGTGTCGTGGCTCGAACGACCATATACAAGCTTATGGGACACTCAGTGGGTTCAGGTGTAGTGCAGCCAAGATGGTGGTGTGTGTTTCCGGTAAGAGAAACAGGAGGGGGAATCCCAATTTAACTTGTTTAATCAAAGGAGATTTGTATATGTTACTTCACACATGTGTTCCGTAATCATTTACACACTGGTAAAACATATACAAAGTTGAATAAACATTCCAGCCAGCCTGATTTGTAACCTACTGCTGTCGAGACAAAATGTCCACTCCTAACTGCGCTATGTGCCACTAGGTGGTGTGGCTAGGGCTTTCTCACATGTATATTACCATTAGACCAGAGGAGTGAAACGCGGAGCAGGAAATGGTGAACCTGGAGCAAAGCTGGAGCGGAGTGATTACTGAAAGCTTAGAGCGCGGAGGGGAAATTGTTGCCACTCCACTCCGCTGACATACGCTGTTTCCAACACCCTTAATTCATCTTAAAATGTAGCATGAGTCGAATTCTCAAAACGCGGATGATCAAACCGATTGATCAGAACTAACTATGCAAACGTGACTTGAGCAGTGCGTTTCACAGTGGTAAGTAGTCTTTGTGTATAGCCTGTGTTGTACTCTCCCACTCTTATTCCTAATTTTAGAAGGCCAAATAAAGCGATTTTGCTTTCGCGTTGAAACACAGCATCTCTGCCACATGAAGTCTAATCTTTTCTCTTTGCGTATGCCTTTGGATTTGTACATAGTGATACAACATAGTGACAGATATTTGAGAGGAAGAATTTGATCGTATTAAGTAGTTTATGCTGTTAGTGTTTTGTTAATTATTTAATAGAAAAGCACTTACCTCAGTATCTCCAACTGACAGTTTGGACTCTTCAATCCATCAGAAAGAAACTTTACTCCTGAATCTAGCAGATCATTGTTACTCAGGTCCAGCTCTCTCAGGATAGAGTTTGGGGATTGTAAAACTGAAGACAAACTTCTGCAACAATGATCAGTGAGATAACAGCTATGTAGCCTGTGTAGGGAACAAAACAAACAGATATATAATGTGTTTATCAGGCAGGGTTTATAGTGTCTGTACAACTTGGAAACTTTGAACGGGTCCCACTTTATATTAGGTGGCCTTAACTACTATGTACTTACATTTAACGCCTTCATTTGGTACAATGCACTTATTGTGTACATACATGTTTTTACATTGTACTTTTATTTTAAAAATACTTGCATGTAATTACATCTGTAATTCTGTAATTACATTTATAATTACACTGTTGACCCGTCCCTTACACCTACCCATACCACCAAACCTGTCCCAAATCCCACCTCAATAGCAGCAAAAGTGTTTTGCAATACAATATGAACACAATAAGTACACTGTACTTATTTTTTTATGTAAGTACATAGTAGTTAAGGCCACCTAATATAAAGTGCGACCCCTTCAAAAACCTATATAGGGATGAGAGAGATTTCTGTCCCTCCACTGATAGTCCACACAACTACCACTTTGATGCTTCAAAAAGTTCTTAAAACAAATCTATATTAATCCACATTTATTGAATAGACACAATCGTTAGTTTAGGCTTTTATTCGTATATGAACATTCATTAATGCACACATCAGATATTGTAAATGGAAGCTAAATGGAAGAAGTGTTGGCCACACTGTGACTTCCTTCTGATGCCAGCAGCCAATCACAGCACTGCAATGGAGAAGCACCACATTGACATTTCCTCCTCATCTACCATAGCGATGTGGGTGCTTCAGTACACAGTAAAACCCTGAGTATTAAATTAACACTGCTCGGAGCATATATGGTCCCGTGTTTATGAAATACGTTTGTTATGGCAAGAAAAACCCAGCGAAAATGTGAACAAGTAACATTGGCTCTTTTTTGATAATGATGTAGAAGTCATCAATGGTGATGTGTAATTTAGTTTACATTATTGATCACAACTGCGTTTTAAAGAAATATGAAGAGCTTTAAAAAACACTTTGCACACCAGTATAGAACATCTGTGGGAGGAGTTATATGAAACGTAGTTTGCAGACCAGTGTTGCCAAATCTGCGATTGCGCCGGTTGTTTTTTATGTCAGCAGGTTGAAGCGACCCCAATAACGTGATATTTAGGCCCTGGAATGTGAATTGTACCAGCAGAACCCCGCCAGAAAAATGTGTATTTTACCCCTGAACGCGATTTTTACTGGGGGACCCCCTCGAAAAGCAATTGGGCTATTTTCAGGCTAGTTTTGAGTAGTAATTGGCCGGGTTTTGTAGCTGAAAACCTGGCAACCCTGCACCAGACAGAGCTGTCGGTGATTTTTCCTATTGTAAAGTCATGCAGTGTGTAACCCCCTGTCGTCGTTCCATCGTGCAGTGTGAACACAGCAACAACTGAATGCTACCCCAGATAGTCGTTCAGTGTGAAACCAACAGTGATGCGATGTCTTTGAAATCGTGCAGTGTGAACTCGGCATAAGTCTGTCGCTGAAGTCAGTTGTAGTTCTTGTGTTTCTCTTTTCTTCAGTGATTCTGCTTGTTAACAGCAGGTGTTCATCTCTAAAGCACAATCATCACTTAATTTGCTCCGAGCAGTGTTCATTTAACACTCAGGATTTTACTGTGTACCATACACTCTAAAAAAATTGGTGCTATATAGCATTAAAAGCGGTTCTTTGGCTTGTAATCATAGAGGAACCACTTTCAGTGCTATTTAGCACCTATTTTTACAGGTGCTATATAGCACCTCAACCACTCCAAAGAACCGCTGAAGAACCTTTTTTTTTTTACAGTGTACAGCATCATCATGCACACATTCAGAAAGACGAATGTACCAGTTTATAATGTTTACTTTGATATGCCAAGTGTAAAAACACCCAAACTCAGTTCTGGCAGAAAATGTACCTGGTGCAGATACGTTGGATGGGTTTATTATAAACGAAATGCTCATGATAACAATCCTACATTCCTGTCAGAACTGCCACAACTCTAAAGTCTTGAAATGTGAATATTTTTTTGTGAGTATCAATGTGTGTGTGTGATTCTCAGAGAGATGAACTTACTTCAGTGTTTCCAGTTTACAATTAGGATCCTTCATTCCAGCAGAGAGCAGATTCACTCCTGATGTTCCTGGTTTATTCCATGACAGATCCAGTTCTCTCAGGTGCGAGGGGTTTGATCTCAGAGCTGTGGTAAGAGCTGCACAACCTTCATCTGTGACACCACAATATCTTAACCTGTAGAAACATTGACACCCTTTATTCTTGCAGTTTAAGATATACAACTCAAATAAGCCAATACAACAAAATATGTCCCTAATCTTATTCGTATGCCAACTTAATTTTGCAATACATCATGAACACAATAAGTACATTGTACTTAATATTTTTAAGTACAGCTAAATCACCTAATCTTCAGTAGAATTAATGAGTTATATGCAATAAAAGGGGACCTTATATTATATAGAGCTCATTAATTCCATGGAGGTGAATGAGAATGTTTATACAATTTTTATGTTTATACAATCTTACCACAGTGTTACCAGTTTACAGTGAGAATCTTTGAGTCCAGCAGAGAGCAGCTTCACTCCGGTGTCTCCTATGTTATTCTGAATCAGATCTAGTTCTCTCAGGTTTGAGGGGTTTGATCTCAGACATGAAGCCAGAGAAGCACAACCTTCATCCGTGACACAGCAATAATTCATACTGTACAGAAAATGCAAATGTAATTTATGCAGGCAGTAAAACATACATAAAAACATCATTAGAGAACAGACAGTGAAAATCTAATACAAATCTTCATCTTCATCTTACACACTGACATCCAGCCCTCACACAGACCACATAAAAACCTCCTCAGCTCCTTGAGTGTATCTCTCACACACATTAAACACACACTGTAAAAAAAAATCCGTTAAATTTACGGTAAAATACCGGCAGCTATGGTTTCCAGAACTTTACTGTGAAAAATACGGTAGCAACATTTTAGGTTTTACAGAACTGTTTAAATTTACAGTGAAAAACTGTATTTCATTAACTGATACAATGTTAATACGCAAACCTTTGAGTTAACTCATTTTATTTGCAGAAACCGATTGTGCTTAATTTGGCCAACTGGCATTTGTTTATAAACTAATATTTATAATGTTTAACTAACGCAAGCAAATTGGTCTTAAGAACTATTTTGTTTAAGGTTAACAAGCAGAATCACTGAAGGAAAGAGAAACAAGAGCAGATGGTGCATTCTGTATATAAAAACAATAAAAGTCTATGTAATGTCCCCATTTAGAAAGCTAAGTAAACGTGTGTGTGTGTGTGTGTCTTTTACCGTTAAAATCACGATCATTTTTTTACAGTGCATGTTGTAAGTATTACATACCGAACTGATCTGGACTCTTTAATCACAGGCAGCAGCTTCTGAAGAACTTCATCTGCTGTATGTTGAGCTCCAATAAACTGCATTAGATCAAACACATCCATCTTCTGCTCTGATGTCAGCAACACATAAACCAAAGCTGACCACTGTGAAGAGGAGAGTTTGGCTGCTCTTATTTTTCCATATCTCAGATAATGTTGGATCTCCTGCATCAGTGAATCATCACCCAGTTCATTCAGACAGTGGAACAGATTGATGGATTTCTCTGGAGAGCGATTCTCCCTGATCTTCTGTATGATGTACTGAACTGTTTCCTCTTTGTTGTAGGAGCAGCATCTTGCCTGTGTTGGTAGTTTTTGCAAGAGAGTCTGATTGGACTCCATTGAGAGACCCAGAAGGAAACGTAGGAAAAGATCCAGATGTCCATTCTTGCTCCGTAAAGCATCATCTACAGCTTTCTGATGTAACTTAGATACTGAACTCATCCATTTTAAAACTTTGGAGAACAGACTTTGTTTGGTTTTGTCAAACACATTGAAGTTGTTGTTGGTAAAAGAAAGATGTGCATACAGAGCTGCTAGATGTTCCTGAATGCTCAGATGAACAAAGCAGAAGACTTTCCCCTGATACAAGCCAAACTCCTCTCTGAAGATCTGAGTGCACAATCCTGAGTACACTGATGCTTCTGTCACATCAATGCCACACTCTCTCAGGTCTTCCTCATAGAAGATCAGGTTTCCTTTCACAAGCTGCTGAAAAGCCAGTTTCCCCAGTTTGAGGATCATGTCTTCATCTGTCACCTTCTTCTCATAGTCCTTCTCACGTTTGATGTTGGTCTGAAGGATCAGGAAGTGTGTGTACATTTGAGTGAGAGTCTTGGGAATCTCTCCACTCTCTGCTCGACTCAACATCTTCTCTAGAACAGCGGCTGAGATCCAGCAGAACACTGGGATGTGGCACATGATGTAGAGGCTCCTTGATGACTTCAGGTGTGAGATGATTCTATTGGCCAGACTCTGATCACTGATTCTCTTCCTGAAGTATTCCTCCTTCTGTGGCTCATTGAAGCCTCGTACCTCTGTCACTCGATGGACACACTCAGAGGGGACGAGATCAGCTGCTGCTGGTCTGGAGGTGATCCAGATGAGAGCAGAGGGCAGCAGATTTCCTGCAATGAGGTTCGTCAGTAGCACATCCACTGTGGCAGATTTACTTAAATCACACAACCTCACATTGCTCTGAAAATCCAGAGACAGACGACACTCATCCAGACCATCAAAGATGAATCTCTGTGATGTAGAGCTCTGTGTAGATCTCATTCAGCAGTGTTGGGTTTCCCTGTTTTGCCATTCCCTCATACAGACACTCAAACTTCTTCATCAGGTTTGATCTAAATGTGTTGAGGACTTCAGAGTCATGGCTGTAAAATTAAAATACCAGATTATTACACAAGTTTAGGAAGTAAATGTACAGAGCTATAAATAGCAAAATGCTATATATATACAGTATATATATATTTACATTGACATTTAGTAATTTAGCAGACACTTTTATCCAAAGCGCCTTACAAATGAGGACAATGGAAGCAATCAAAATCAACAAAAGAGCAATGATATGCAAGTGCTATAATAAGTCTCAGTTAGTTTAATGCAGTACACGTAGCAAGGTTTTTAAGATTATATAACAAATAAAAAGAAAACAGATAGAATAGAAAAAGAATAGAGTAAGCTAGCGTTAGAGGCCTTTTTTTGCTTTTGTTAATTGTATAATAAATAACAAGAAAACAAATAGATAGAATAGAAAAAGATTAGAGAAGCTAGTGTTAGTTTTTTTTTTTAAAGAAAACAAGCAGTTAGTAAATAAGTAGAGTGCAAGTATAAAAGGGGCAAGTTTTTTATTTATTTATTTATTTTTTAATGAAGAATAGCATTAGACTAGAGAGTGCTAGAGTGGGCAGGTCATTCCACCAGGAGGGAACATTTAATTTAAAAGTCTGTGAAAATGATTTTGTGCCTCTTTATAATGGGACCTGACAGCCACCAGGACAATACCACAGGAACCAGTTGAGTCCTCTGCACAATCTGACTTTGCTGCAGCCTGAAATTGAACTCATGGTTTCGTCTGGTCAGAGGAGAACTGGCCCCCCGACTGAGCCTGGTTTCTCCCAAGGTTTTTTCTCCATTCTGTCACCGATGGCGTTTTGGTTCCTCTGGCTTGCTTAGACACTTAATTTCCAGCGATATCGTCGACTTGATTGCACAGATACTATTTAAACTGAACTGAGCTGGACGATGACATCACTGAATTCAATGATGAACTGCCTTTAACTGAAAATTGAGTGTTTACTATTGTCATTTTGCATTGACACACTATTTTCCTATTTTGATGCTGTACAGTTGCTTTGACACAATCTGTATGGTTAAAAGCGCTATATAAATAAAGGCGACTTGACTTGACTTGACACATAGTTTATTAAATGTGTTTGATTATTAATCATGTGTTTTAGTGATGTGTGATTATTACAGCACCTATAACAATTATAAAAACATCCAACATTTTACCTCAAACCAGGACACGTGCTTTCATTAAAATCCTGTGGTTGTTTCAGAGACTGGTCATGTGTCCTATCAGCAGGTGTTTTTTGGGCTGGTCTGGATAGTTGGTTTAACCATAATCAACATGAAAAGAATAAAGAATAAAGAGTCAACATTCCGATATTGAGGATTTGAAACATTAACTGAATAACATACCATCAGTTTGTGTGAATGTATTAACAATACATAAGGGCACAGTGGTAATCATTTAAGGACTTCAAATGCAAAAACCTCTAAGTCCGTCTGCCATTTTTCTTTTAAAAGGAGCATTTTTATCAGGCTCCTTTATTTATGTTCAGTAATTCCACTTCAATGGCAATAAAAAGGTTATTAGTCAGCTATTGATATGCCATGTTTTCAAAAATGTAACTTTAGTCCATTAATTGGTATTTAACAAATTTGATTGTCTTTTGCTGCCAAACCAGCAAGGTCCATGTTTGCTTTTTTTTTTGTTTTGTTTTTTGGCAAAAGCCTTACATGCCTTTTACATGCTACCCACAAAATCCTGTTATTGCCATTATAACAATTTTCTTTAGCTTTATAACGAGCAGGCTTGAGGTTGGCAATGTTCCCTTTTGTCAGTGACCGAAACTACCAAAGGCTCATCCATATCCTTTTCTTCAGATACTCCATCATCTTTAGTTAAAAATCTCTTAAAAACGTTTTTGTTTTTTTCCCCTTTTCCCCTTTTTTTGGTTGAACAACATTCTACAGAAACGTCCACTTTTGGTATGGCAAGATGTCTTAAAATGTATTTCTTTTTTTAAGTTCCCTAATAATAAAGTAGGTCATACCAGTGACTTCAACTAAAAGCTTCATATGAAATCATGAGATAAATGAGAAAATTTCTGATAACTGAAAAGAGACAGTGGACTTCACATGGGCCTTTTTTTCATAGATCTTCAGGAAATGGGAGGAAGGAAGTCAAGTGATGTCATCAGTGTGATTTTTATTTCAAAATAAATGATTTTTGTTAATCGGTAACACCAGTGACACAATTCCAGGGGACCACTACTTTCATTATATATTTTATAATATTTATTTGGCATTTAGTTTTTTATGTCATTTACATCATATATTTCATAGTTATGAATACATCATTGTATTTTAAATGGTAGAAAAACCTGTTTTTGACCTCAAAATAAAGCACTTTTCCTCTGTACATGGCTGTGGGGACAAGCAGTTTTGTGGTGCTTGGAATTCTTTATAATTAATTAAAAATAAATATTGCCACATTGATGGCTCAAGAAGGTGTAATTGTTCAAATAACACATTGTTTTATTTTAAAATATAAAAAAATTGTAACCCTAAAGTGTTTTTCAAGTGTAATATTTCTGTAAAGGCTAGGGACAGAAAAGTGGACGTTTCCATAGAATGACCATGTTGTTTATGTGTGTAATGAAAAATTCTAATATAAATATTTAAAGAAAGAATCTCTTTAAATGGGATAAAAAAAACTTGCTGCTTAATGAGGCTTTTGCTGACAAAGGTAGGTGGCGTTCAGCGGTTTCTGCCAATTAACTGATGAACGTATGCTATGTGCGGAGAGCTTTCGCTCAGTATCATCTAATTTTTGATGGAAGTGGCATTTAGCTGCTTTTGCATGTTAAGTCTTCAATTATAAATTGCAACTAAGAATTTGAACTCACTTTTTATTAAAGAGGACCTATCATGCCCCTTCTTGCAAGATGTAATATAAGTCTCAGGTGTCCCCAGAATATGTCTGTGAAGTTTCAGCTCAAAATATCCCACAGGTTATTTATTATTGTAAATGTTGTAACTGCCTCTTTTTGGGTGGGAGAAAAAAATGGCTGATTTTTTTTTGAATGTATCTGTAAATGCAAATGAGCTCCTGCTCCCCGCCCCCTAACCAGGAGAGGGCTGTGTTATGCTGCCTTCACGTGCTATTAAAGTTATCACAAATATGAGCTTCCTAGGTAAAAATTGGGAATTTTTGGGAATAATTTTGATACCCAAATTCATAAGATGGGTGGGCCATAAACTTTAATAAATCATCCTCCGCCATGTTTAGTTTCTTTTCCCACAACAGCTAGATTGGGTCGTCTTGTCATAAATGTTATGCATATTTACATATATAATAATCATTTGAACTGTATTGTATGCTTTATACACAGTGAAAATAGCCTGTATTTTACTGAAATTACAGAATCATCAACAAGCAAACTATCTAGACAGCTTTGTGAACGTTTATATGGTTGTCAGTGATGAATGGGACACTAAATAAAATTTTGGCTTTAATAATATTTTCCCAATAAATCTGCAGGAATAAAACTGGTGTCCTCCATGGCACTTTTCCACTGCATGGTACGACTCGGCACAGCTCGGTTTGCGTTTCCACTGCAGTTTAGTATCGCTTTCGAGTGGGCGGGATTATTCACATATCGTTATAGTTGCGCCGCTGTCATGAGAAATCGAGTCCACTTAGGACCAAGGCGGTAGCTGTTTTAAATGCCTGATCAAAAGTCAACACTTATGTTACTATTTCGTTGTGAATATATGTATGGTAAGTGCAAATGCGTGGTGTATAAGCTAACCTAGCAGGCTAATCGGGTAGCTGTATGCTATGCTAGTACGTGAGCTAACCAAAAAAAACAAAACAATAAAAATGAGAAATGTTTGATTTCACAACCTATAGCTTCGGATACTAGCGTATGAAACATGTAATTTAAAAGACATTAATGGTCATTATAATGAAGTTCAAACGACATAAATCAAAGCGCGATTTTGCAGGAATTGTAATCAGGCGCTAAAAATAATACCCATTAAAAGTTCGTTGAGCCAATGGGATCACTCGGGGTCCTAAGCGGACCCGATTTCGAGGGGGGACTCGATTTCTCATGACACCGCCTCTACTGCCGCGACTCCTGAAAAACTTTTTCATTCCGCGTCACCCCCATAGACTGTAAAAAAACATGGACGTAGTGTCCGTGACGTCACTCGTAGGGTTCAGAACAGAAGAGCATTTTTTAAGCCTAAAGTGGGCGGAGCCGACCGCCGCCATCTTGGCAGCGCGTCACCGCGCGTCACTCCCGGATGATCGAAAATGGGCAAAAATGCGGGATGTGGGTGAAGCTGAGGCGCTAGTTGCTGAAACCAAGCCCGGCTATGGTGACAGCAGTGCTGCTATGCAAAGACAACACACCATAACTTCGTTTTTGGTCGAAATTAGTTATTGATAATTTTGGGACATATATGACCTCCTTTATCATGTGTATAAGTATCTTGGAGAAAAGCCCAGGAGAAACCAAGGCAGAACACAGTATCATCAGTTACCGCTCTTTGACTTAGTTTTAGATCGCTCAAATTAAGTTACGGTGCTCTGCATCTGTTTAGCCGTTCGTCAATATTACTGTACCAGCCTGGAGTTATACGGTATTCTGCCTCTGTTTAACTGTGCATTAAAGTCTGCGCTTTTAAATTACGGTGTGACTTCTGTACTTTCATACATCTGTCGGCACTTCTTTAGACAAACTAATTAGATAGATCGCGATCTAACAAACTGCTCCATATAACAAAGCACTGTAAACAAGCAACGACTAGATAACTTGGCAACAAAAATTAACCGTAAATAATCTTTAAAGTTTTTTTTTC